ATGAATCAACCGGAGTTGGTATATAAGTTTATGCAACTAGCCAGCCATAATGCAATGTGGCAATCTCGAAAAGGTGCGGCCTTCGGGTTCTCATCAATAATTGCTCAAGCCGAGGAGGAGTTGAAACCTTACTTGAAAGATTTGATACCCCGATTGTATCGATTTCAGTATGACCCCAATCCCAGGGTCAACGAGGCCATGACGAGTATCTGGAAATCATTAGTGAAAGAACCTAAAAAGATCATGGAAGAATATTTTGAAACAATCGTGAAAGATTTACTTAAGTCTCTTGGTGATCGATTATGGAAAACTCGAGAAGCCAGGTACGTGAATTTGCTAGATTCTTATTTGTCGATTAAATTGTCAGTTGACTTTGACTTTATGAAACTTTACTTTAGTGCCAATGCGTTAACAGACCTTTTGCAAGGTCGTTCTATTCAGGAACTGGAACCTTTCTTACAGGACTTGTGGAACATGTGTTTTAGAGCTTTGGATGATATTAAAGTACGTATGACTTTGCACATTCGGATTGATTATTACAGTACAAAGTCCTATTAGTAGATAATTTCATGCATAACTGTATTTAATAATTAGGAAAGCGTTCGAATAGCAGCATTTAAGACATGTCGTACGCTGACCAAGGTTACAGTGAAATACTGCAATCCTGAAAATGTGTCTGTAGTCGATGGTCAAAAATTTATGAAAGTCGTTATACCATTCCTCTTAACCAAAGGTTTATTGTCAGATGCTGAGGACGTTCGCAAATTTTCCTTAAGGACAATTCTCGAAATTTGCAAGACCTCCAAAGGATTGTTGAAACCTCACATTGCAGAGTTAGTTAGTACCTTATTAGAAGGACTTTCTAGCATGGAACCTCAAGTGATGAGTACGTAGGTTTGCCTTATTTCAGCAGCAATTCTTTATTTCATACAAGATTTAGGTATTTCTTCTCAATTAGAATCTGTAAATAGATTATCTTAGCTTTCACGTGGAAAAATATGAGGTCACGCAAGAGCAGGTTCGCTATATTTTTATATTTCTATTGACTTTTTTTTTTAATATCCCGGCATCTTCTAATTTATTCTCTAATATTTAGCTTGAAAGCACTCGTTTATCCGCTGCAAAAATGTCACCTATGATGGAAGGAATTGAATCCTGTGTTGATTACATTGACACCGGAGTGATGGAGGAGTTAACACCAAAGTTACTCCAACTTATACGAAAGGGGTTGGGATTGCCGACTAAGGTGCGTGAATTGTAATTTCAAGAGAACTTTGAAAGCATACGTTTATAATTTTGTGTTTTTTTCTTAGGCGGGTTGTGCGCGATTTCTGGTGACCATGACCCTCAAGCAGGCGACCACACTGAGGCCTTTTGCCGACAATATCATGAAAGCTCTGAGTGGATCCATTTTAGACAATTCATCGGCAGTTCGTAAGTCGTATGCTGTCGCTGCCGGATACGTTGCACACCTGTCCACTGATAGCACCCTAATAAGATTTATCGGGCATTTAAAGAAAATTTATTGCGATAATAGTGGTAAGAGAACAACATTCTATATTATGGATCCAAGTGTTATTCGCTGAGTATAATTGGTGACATATTTTGTCAACGTCTATTAGAGCAAGATATACGATCGATTGCTGGCATTACAGTTTTAGAAATATCAAGACACGCATCTGATGAGATGAAGCGGATTTATGTAGAAATATTACCATTTGCATATTATGGCATGCATGATTCGGACGATGGAATAAAGAATGTGTGGACCGAGGTATGGGACGAAAATACGGCTGGTAAGAATGCTCTTATTGATGAAAGGAGTGTCGGCATAATCTATTATGACAATTTTTTAAAAATTATGTAGGGTCAACCGGTGCTATTAAATTGTATCTAAAGGAATTGATCGATCTTTTGTCAAAATTGATGGAGTCCCCTTCGTGGTTGACAAAGCGACAAGCTGCTGAGACTATCGCGGATGTAGCAAAAACAATAGGTATTCTTATAACTGTTAATCTTATTTAATATACATATAAGACCATAATTAGAATTTAAATAATTACGATTATAGAACAAAGCTTATTGCCATACATGAAGCTAGTCCTTCCGTTGTTAATAAATGGATTATCAGGAAGAACATGGGTTGGAAAGGAAGCTCTTGTTCAAGCCTTAGCAACGTCCTCCATATATTGTAAAGAATATTTCGACCAGGGAGATTCGCAAGTGAAATTGAATGAAGTTTCAAACGTAAATTATTTGTCTCGCAAAATTACCCAATAGAATGATCTATCATCAGTCTTTATTCACCGTCCACGTTTTCCGTTATAGGTTCTTATACGTGAAAGCAAGAAGACAAACAAACAGTATAAGCGGAATTGTCTTGATAATCTTGGGTTGTTCGCAGATGCCTACAATAACAGATTAGACATTTATACAGAAGTTAAAGATTTCTTAATTGAATTGGCAATCGGAGAACAGAACCCAGATGAAATGGATGAGGATGATGCAAACGAGCAACCATTGTTTTTATTGGTCAAAGCTAGCGCGATGAAATGTCTCGGTTTGGTCTGGTCAAAAAACAGAGAAGTACAATGTAAATGTTAGAAAGAACGACTGAATTCTTGTTTATATGCAACCTAAAGTTGAATTGATTTAAAATTTTGTAGTACATCATTCGAAAGAACTAGGAACAATCCTTGCCGAATCTCTAGGCTCTGGAAAAAACATTTGGAATGTGCGTTTAGGTGTCCTTGCGTCTCTCGAAAAATTCATTGAAAAGTTAGATTTCACTGATGATAAAGAGCTAGTGCTCGATGAAGAAACCCTTATCAAAATTTTTGGAGGCTTGAAAGAAGGGCTTATGGACGCCAAGTATTCAGTAGTCCGTACGGCGAGTTTGAATAGTCTAAAGAAAATCACAGAAAAAATTAACGGTAATGCGAATCTTTAAACTTATTTAGGTGGAATGTGTATATAAAAAGTATAAGATTAATGACAACTCAATCTTTTACAATTAGATACCAAATTAATGTCTTCGGGAAAAGTTAGACAAGGATTACTCGACACACTTTCCATTGCCGAGAAAGATCCTGTGCCCGGAATATCCGAATTAGTCAAGGAAATTCGAAAATCTATATGATATCCCTTTTAGAGTAACATTTACATATTTTATTTAAAATTATTTTTAATCGTCAAAATATGTGCATTATTGTTAAAAAACCGAAATCCTAAAATCTTTTTTTATAAGCAAACTTGAACTTCACGTTTGCTGCGAAATAAAAAAGATAATTAACTTTATTAAAAACGCGGATTGAACCATTAACATGAAGTTCCCTTAAAATGGTATTTTTGAGTGAGCGAAAGCGAAGGCGGATGTGTGTTAACTACAAAATTTTCTAGTCTTTACGATTCATAAATTTTAAGACTTATAGTATAAAGAATATTTAAAAGCAAGCATTTAATTTGGTCAAGAAATAATGACCGAGACTAGTAAAAGTACGGTTCATGACTATAATAATAATGCATAGACCACCAATAAAAAGGAATCAATAACCTAAAAATCAATTTTTTATTCTTCGCAGAAATTGTGCAGCGTATTGGTTTAAGAGTATTTGTGAATTTTATTGCATTGTGTTAGACCAGGTGTTGTTGAAATATTTTGTGCCTTTTTCTTTTATATGGATGCCCAGAATTCTGGCGAATTGGCTGGATGATAATATCGATATTGGTTTTGTTTTATATAGTAACTGTAGGAAGTTCTGTGTTTTAATGAGTCAATACCGTGAAACTAGACTTGGTAAAGATTATAGGGATATTATTCAGATTAAAAAATTCAGAGCGTATGTTATGTAATTGTTAAATACTGTACGTGTAATAGGTGCTATGAGGGTTGGCCTTTAATTATCTGATAATGTGTAGTCACTGTCTCTGGTTGGTTTTACGATAAGAGAATCATAAAAGATTTTCCATAGAAGAGATGATATTGTATTCCCTTGATCAATTTATTTTTCAATGTATCTGTTTAATAATTTGATATGTTACTAGTATTAGTATTGTACAAGACTGGAAATTCTAACAGAGTGGTATGCTTTGGTTATATCAACATTGAAAACTCTGCCATTTTGGTTTGAGTTATCTTGGATAGCTAAGAATACGAAACAGTTTTGTGTATTCTAACTTGAGAATGCTATCCAATTGTAAGGAGAAGGGATTGGTGTGATATACAGTAAATAGTTTTTCAAACTTGTCTTTTATTATTTAATAATGACTTTCTTATTCTTTTCAATAGAATAATTATTCTGGTAATGTTAATATCATTTTTTCAAGATTTTGGCTTTGCTGTTAAATAAATATTACCTTGTTTCCATTCAGTGAATACTGTTTCTCGAGTTGTAATATTATGCAAAAAAATTAGTGACATAAGAAAAAAAAATTCTTTGATAGTTTTTAAGTATGATCTATATTATTCCTGAGAGTCCTAATGCTTTTATTGTTCGAAGTAAAGTGTAGGACTTAAAGGAAGATAGCGAGCAGAAAAGTGGTCATCTCCACATTTTTTTGATTTCTATTATATAAAAATAAAAAATAAAAAATTGTTAAATTGATTCGCAATAAAAATAAATGAATTACCGTATACTACTGTATATTTTAAATTATAATATTTTAATTATATAAACATGCCTTAAGGGTTAAAAAAATAAGTCTTGAGTTACATTTGACACTTAACTCATTTTCTGGTGCACTGTGGCCGGATAACCACGACATTATTACTGTATATAACAATTTTTTCACACTCTTGATAAATTACATCAATCCTTAGCGGAGAATAGTCACGCGATTATATCCATGTCTCCCACAATTGTACTGTAGATTCGATTATTTATCCGAAATATTATGCGGTATGGTTATGCGTGGGGTGTTATCTGATACTCCTTTTAACGAAGTAACACGCGATAAAGACTTTGTAACTAATTCAAAAAAACCTACTTGATTGGAAATTTATCAATAAAAAATGTTGAGATGCTGGACAATAGAACCGACTTAATGCACATGAATTATGCGAATTCTCAGATATGTGGCGTGATACTCATATTCACCTTCTGAAACCACAATGTACTATTATTAGGATTAGATAAAAAATAAATAAATGAAATTGCCAATATATATTGGAGTAACTTCTTATTTCTTTATACGAATACTGTATACGACATTTTTTTGTAACTCGGTTTCTCTATTTGATTATAATTCGAGATTAAATTGAACGAAAAATTTTGTAGTTTAAAAAAAACCTTTTTTCAATCAATAATGAAATTTGATAGCATCTGTTTTCAGGTTATATTCTTAAATAAACTGATGGCATTATGTTAAGGTAACAAGTAATTTTTGCATTCATAAGATTTAGTAGCAGTTGTACTTTTAGCATACAGCTACTGACAAAATAAGAAATTGGTTATGATCTTACCGTTCTTTAAAAGAAATAATAATATCGCGAAATCTTTCCATATTTCAAATAAGCTTTAACTCTCGTATGCCTAAAAATATCTCTTGACCAAATTCTTCATTCTAAGGTAAAATATTTTCAAATTTGGATGAATTATTAAGCTTTAAAACTTCATTCCCAAAAATTTGCAAGAACAAATAAATATCTCGGAAATAAAAATTTCCAAAAAGCTTTAGAGAAAAATTGAAACTACTTCAAACATATTTTCTAGGATACAATTACATTATTGGAAATAGATCAGGAAAGAAAATACCTTAGTTTGAACATAACTTATCAACTCAATAATTCAGACCAGTCACTTTTTTCAAACCTACTTACACAACACTTCTAAAATTAAATAAGGATCTTTAATTTATTAGAAAAAATCAATGAATTAAATTAATCCGTCTATTTAATTAGCAGAGGCCAATTATATTCACAACAATTTTCACAATTAGGATTCTTTTCTACTGTATCTGATTTATATTTAAACTTTATATGTTTATCTAATACTGTAGACTTATCTAAATTAAAAGAACTAGGCGTAAATATGCATTAGTCAATAACTATTATCATGTGATAAATATCACGTAATGTTCTTTGTTTGAAATATCAGACTAATTTCAGACTACTGTATAGATTTTATAAACCATATGATAAGAATGTTTGCTTGACTTTTTTTTTCTTTTATTGTTTATTTTTTCTCTTTATTTTACTTTTCATCTTTCAAATTAATGCACCTGTGGGTCTGGCTGCAATATAATCACGTAATGTACAGTGCTGGCAGAAAAAAGTGACATTTCATTGATCTCTACAAAATAACCAGATTTCCTAAAAAATCATTATACCGATGGATCGCACAACTTACTAAAACCAATGACCTAAAACAAGGCAAACGTTTTGGCCATTCAAAAAAACTTAACTATACACAAAGACATTACCTCGGCCTAATCGCATCAAAAGAAAAATGCACAACAAGTTCAGAGTTAGTGGAGATTCTCAACAATGTATACCCCAACCTAAATATATCAGCATGAACAGTTAGAGCCAACCTTCAGCAACTTGGTTATAAGGTCTATGTTCCCCGAAAGATCCCTCTTCTCACTCCTAAAGTGATGGAATGTAGAGTCACCTGGACACAAGCTCACTTGAATAAATGGTAAGGAAGGATGATTTTTTCTGATGAATCAAGCTTTCAATTATTTTAAAATACAACACAGGTGCGTTACAAAACTGGCAAACCAATACCAACCCGCACGGTCGTGAAACACCCCTATAAAGTTCATGTATGAGGATCTTTTTGTGCAAAGGGAATCATCAGTTTTCATATTTTTACAGGTACTATAGATAGTGAGCTGTATCATGAAATATTAACACAAAATCTATTTGATCAAGTGCACCAGGTCGTCAGTGATAATTGGATATTTCAGCAGGACAACAATCCCAAGCATAAAGTGAAGGATACTAAGGCACTACTGTAAAATCATTGTTCATGAATCCTTAATTGGTCATCTTTGTTTCCAGATCTTAATCCAATAGAGAATCTTTGGGCAATTATAAAGAAAAAAGTAGAAAAAAGGATAAACTTGATGATTTCAAAAAAAAAAATGGTGACGCAAGACAATTTTGTGTCAATTATAAGGAAAGAATAGCAAAAAATTGATCAAAATTTGTGCCTTAATATGGTAAAATCCATGTTGCGACATTTGGCACTAGTTATAGAAAGCCGTGGTAACAAGATAGAATATTAAAAAAATTTTTTTATAAAACATATATCTCGAAGTATGTTATATTAAAATTTTATTTGATAATAACAAAAATTGAACACATGACATCAATTTAATTAATTG